CAGAGAAGAGTCATTCGCCTGGTGGGTGACGCCACACTCACTCACTCTTTGACATCATTGGAACACCGTTGAAAGGTCGGCGACTTTTCACTTTTCTATCGATACTTCCACGAAAAATGTTCTTCAGAAATCTCTGCTATCATTCCTTCACTAGCAAGACCAATCAGACGAACTAGACAAGCCCAGTCAGCACATCCTTTCGTTGTCAACCTCGAAAGATGTCGAACAGCACTTTGTCAAGACTCCTTCATTCATAGATCGGCTAGTCTCTGGAATTCATTGCCTGTGGAAGTATTCCCAACAACATATAATCTCCAGAAGTTCAAAAAAAATTCCAATACCTACCTCCTGTCCCTATCCTCCCTGGGAACGCACGATGTTCTTTGAACATTATAGGGATTCCCTTTCGTGCGCTCCAAGCGATAAAAAAAAATCTCCTCAAACTTTTTCATAGTACGCCTTTGACATGTTCCAGTTACCAAATAGGATGGATCGTTCAATTTAAAGGCTTTCTTTGCTCTTCAATGTCTTTCTAGAAAGATAAATTCGTTCTATATCATGTTGATTTTGCCAAATTTTGTGTATGTTTCCCTTCAATTCTATTCTTGGACAAAATTTGTTGAGAATGCAATGAAAAGTACTAAAAAATCTGGATCACTAGCGGGGATACAGAGGGTAGAAGGTCAGGTTGCTTTCAATCGACCAATACAACGAAGCGAAAAATTCGTGTAAGCTCCATCCAGTTGTATTTCAAATCTTTTTCAATATCATTGAAGGAATTTGAAAATAATATAGCATTCGCCCTGTCCACCATACATCTGGTAAATGTGGCTTTATCAGTCCACAATCCATACATTTTGTACTATTCGTCATTGTCAATATTGTCAAAGAATTTTGTCCAAGAATAAAATTCAATAGAAAAATAATAGATGAAATGAACATGTTTTAGAACGGATATGCATATTTATCTCGAGAATGGTTTATTTCTCGGAAAAAATTGAGTGGCAAAGATATAGCCTCCAAACTGGACGAATCATCCTATTTGGTAATTGGAAGATGCAGAGGCGTACCACAAACAAGTTTGGAGGGTGTAAAGAAGCCTCTACCTCCAAAAAGATATTACCCTGTAGATTTCAAAAACCATCGGAAAGCTCAAAATGATGGTTTTCTAGTAAGTTCTGAGTACACCAAATTTAAAATTGATATCTTCAAAAGTTAGCGAGATGTTTCGATCAATAAGAAAGATTAATTAGAATCTGACCCTGTAGCTCTGCTACAGATCGAGATCGGAATCATGTTTATATGAACTATTTCAATGGGGAAGACCACTGAGAGAAGATATATCCGTGCAAACCTCTTTCAATCGACGAATCATGATTTACGTTTAATGTACAATCAATATTATGAGTTAGAGTTGAAGGGAATCGATCTATATCGTTTTGAAATCAGCATATTCCATTCGATATTTCAAACAGCCAAATATGATGATGGAGTCGTGACGTATTAGTCCCGAACTGAAGCTATCTCTCTCTGATAAATCGTCATTCTGCAGTGTTGCAGCGTGATTGGTCAGTTCAAGGACAATAGGCGTGTTGGGAATAAGACGTCGCACCAGTCACACCAATGAATTGACAACATTTCAAATGGCGCAGGAATTGTGTGTTTTGAAATGGACATATTCTAATTTATTTTTTCCATCGTCTTAGCATGTATGACAAAATTCAAAATTAATTCGCTGGTAGCTTCTCAGTATAGAGTTCACGATAATGTCATTTCAAAAAAATCAGTGGTCTCCCCCATTGGAATGAACTATCACCCATTTCAGTTTGTACCTCAAAACCCCTGCCCTGTATATGGTAAAAAAAACGATTATCGAAAATAAATCACTTCTTATTTTGTCAGCTCACCCTCTTTTTTTTTCTTGTCGAGGTGGTTTAAATCCTTTATGGACACCATATGGGTCCTATCCCCCATATGATAGTGTGGGACTCCCCTGACTCTAGCCAGGGTTTACCCACTAAAAACTCCACCCCGTTTTTAGACTCGTCTGACCATGTCTCCGACGACACTTAGGCCTAAGGTGGCCCATTGTATTTTACCTAATGTTCTTTATTGTGCCCACTCCATTATCTCTGTAACTTGAACAAGTCTGTACAAATCCTTCACTGGATGTGAGTTGAATATTTCTGGTTCGCCAACTGGTTGCCCAAAGATCTTCTGTCTTCTGCGGTCCAATGCCTCACATCGGCACAGTACATGTGCTACTGTTTCTGGTTCCTTGCCTCATAGTCTGCAGCTTGGGTCGCCATTGTACAGTCCCATTCTGGCGAGATGCTCCTTTACTGGAGCATGGCCAGTCATATGAGTCCCGTAACAGTTTTTATCTGTGCTCTGTTCAAGTTGAGCAGGTCTACAGTTCGTTTATGACTTGGTGCCTTAATGTATTGTTTCCCATGTCTGTTTCTTGGGATGTTTTCCCAGTAGCTCTTATGTTTTGCCTTAATCCAGTCTTTAACTGACACTCGTGCTGTACGTTTTGGTACTCCAAGAGTCTGTCCTGGATCTGGCTCGTTGTCCGACCCTCACCCTCTTGAACTATAGAGATAATTCTTGAGAACTTGTATAATCTTTCACAATATGTCAATCAAGAATCTTATTTTCTGATGGAATATGTACCATTTTTTCTTATTGATATAAAGGATTGCAATAATTATTATTTGAAATAATAATAGGAATTTCATTATCTTCAGGAATATTGACAAAAAATCAATTAATTCATATCAATTTCACCTTGGAAATTTTATCTTCATTCATCATGACCAAATAACGCCAGTTACTGAAAAGCATAATGAATGACATTCAAAAATCACACAGTAGATTTTTTGCACACCAACAATTCCTCATGGATTCGAATAGGAAAGCTTATTCAATTCTAGATAAAATCGACGTAAGGAAGTGAACAGTTCTTGGGCCTATAATTACTTAGAGTTTCTGAGATCTAACTAGACGTGGAGACAGATTTTCGTGCTCTGAATTGCCACCTGGATCCCTGGATTTGGCCCCCGTTGAGAAATATTTGTTTCAGGAGATATTATTTGGGTCGCATTGATGTGGTATCGCAGTTTTTTTTCAAGTGAACTGTTATAAAGTGTTATTCATGGTCTGAAAAGCTGACAGCTTGGAACCTTGCTGAAGTTGTGCTTGAACATACATAACAAAAACATCGAGCTCTTCTGCAGTAGGTTGAAAAACTCACAGGGTGCAATAAATAATTTGAGAATTTCACTAAGAATTATTGTTGCCTTATTAAAATAGGCCTTATCTTGTATATTCTTTTACAGCCAATATTTATGAATGTTCCCTTTACAACTTAAAATTTCAATTCTTCTCCAGCAAATTTTTGTGTCCCTGATGAAATAATAAACTCCAGCGGAATGGATTTGCTGATGACATAAGAAATTTTCGTTTAAAACCTTGGCAATCATATTTGCTTATGTAAAAATAACCGATCATTCGATGACCTTGACTGTGAAATTCTCGAAAGTATATAATTATTTCAGGAGAATTGATAACTGGCGGTTGCCTTATTTTGGGCACTTATTCGCTGCCAAAATTACTTATGTACGTGTTGTCATGAATTTAATGATGATGCAGCGAAGAAGGAAAGAATGTTGAAAAAAATTGCCTTTTATGTAGTCTTTGTCATTCCAGCAGCATATATTTTACTTCTTCAAAAACAATAGAATATTTCATCATTAGCATTCGCGACCATAATTGATCGTATCAAAAATATGTATATATATCTCATAATGACACAAGAATGTCATCACCATTGCATTATTTTCATGTGCTTTCTGAGATTGATGATGGGCATATACAGGGTGTCTGTAAAAGGTTGGGACATGGCTCGGCTGTGGACTCCTCGGATGAAAACAAGTTGATTCAGGCCAAATTACCTATATCCAAAATCGTCTCGTTGAGTTGGTACAAGGCGTCGAAGTTTTTTTAGAAAAAATTAATAATGAATAATAAGAAGAGTTGGCTGAGATCGATTTCCATAATTTTTGGCATGGCATGTTCTGTCACTGTGAGTCACGTTTTGAGATGTTTTGGTTTATTCACTTTACAACTTAAACTTTCAATTCTTCTCCAGCAAATTTTTGTGTCCCTGATGAAATACTAAACTCCAGCGAAATAGATTTGCTGATGACATAAGATTTCCATAATTTTTGGCATGGCATGTTCTGTCACTGTGAGTCACGTTTTGAGATGTTTTGGTTTATCATCAGTGATCTGCAAGCGTTTCAAACAACTATGTTGCCGTACAAATTTGGTGATAACTTTTCAGAGGTCGGACTGGAAACTTCCAGTATTTTTTTTCAGAAAGATATCCCCTTCAGAAATATTTTTTGTATCGTGTTGATTTTTGATAAGTCTCGAGGTTTATTTACAAATAAATAGTCCGACTAATTAGATTCCTCTTCAAAATTGTTGTTTGAAACACTTACAGGTCACTGATGATGATCAAAAACATCTCAAAACGTGACTTACAGTCACAGAACATGCCATGCTGAAAATTATGAAAATCGATCTCAGCCTACTCTCTTTATGAGCAAATTTATTTTTTTCCAAACCAGACGATTTTGAATATAGGTAATTAATTTCAGCTAGGAGTCCACAGCAGAGCCATGTCCCAACTTTTACATACCCCCTGTATACCAAACGTCTAGTCACTACATTCATCTGATAATACCACTATATACAAACTGTATGATACTATACCATATCAAATATTACCACTACAAAACGGTTTGATACTTAGTACGACAATTTTGTTGTGGTATTATTCAAATACTGTCGCCTATTTTACTGAACGTTTGATATTCACTACCGACTATTTTTCTGAGAGTATTTTCTTAAAATTCAATTGAATTTATTTTGATGTACAGTGTGTATAATCATAGTTGATGACTTTAAAAACACTTGATTTTACTTTGCAGCCTCGATTATCATAGCCATACTAGGAATATCAGGAATGTTGCTGGGAACAGCCATACAAGTTGTCAATCCATATGATATGATTTTCAGATGGGTAAGTAATTTGAAGTGAATATGACTGGAAACTTATATTATATCATACGGAATGAGTTTGATACAATCTCGACAATTTTGATATATTTTTTGTTATTTTGTATTCAACAAATCAATTTTTTGAGGATACATTAAATCACCCTGTATAGTTGCAATTTTTCATCGTTCAAGAAATTATATGGTCACGAGAATATATTCAGAGTCTGGAGATAACACAACACTTCTTTAAAAAAATCATTAATCAATATTATACCTAATACTAACATGAAACATGATAAGCAATGAAATGATTGCAAATGAACAAGGAAATAAATGAGCAATGAAATGAAAGATAGTAATGATATTCATAACAACTGATAGCATCTCAAGAAATTTGTATGAAATGAAGTTAGATGAAATAACATTGTGAACTAGTTTCATGGACGAAATGGGAATTTCTCTTCTATAGTTATTATAAGGAAATAGTACTAAGGTCATCAATATCAGTAAAGTTACTTCATAGACTTATCATCGTTATTATAGTTATTGATATTTATGTTCCATTTGATTTTTAGAGAGATAGTAGTTGCCTATTGATATTTTTTTCTCTCACATTCTTCCGTAATAACGTCAATATATACCGGGTGGATCATCGAAGACGATCCACCCACGTCCCTATCTCAACTTTAGATTTATTATCTACTGACATCTAATTGGAAGAGATTCAGGGTGACCAGATTTTGAATCTTGAACCACCTGTATTTGTTCATGAAGCAGAGATTTTTTTCAGAAACTCATCTTTGAAAAAGGAGGAGAAATATACGAACTGTGGAGAGCACCGCCAGTTGAATTATATTTGAAGGTTTATCTCTGGAACGTCACCAACAAAGATGAGTACATGAGTGGACGACATGACAAGTTGAAAGTTGAAGAGGTTGGGCCCTATGTATACAGGTGAGTTTGGATGATAATTTCGAAATTCTACACGTAGAAAATGAAGGAATGAACTCATTTTGAATCATTAGAAATTAACAAACTCAAAAATTCTGAAATTTTACTTAACGATCAATTTGATCTCAATAGTTCCCCATTGTTGAATTTGTTTTCTTAGTTGGTAATAATACACTCAGTTCCAAAAGAAGTGACGCACTTGATATTTGACCTATCTTGAAAAAAAAATAGTAGGCCGATTTTTTTAAAAATAGTGGGCCGATTTTTTTTTTAATTTGTTGGTAGGTAATGCATTTGTCTTTAAAATAATTAAAGAGGTGAACATTTTTTCAAAGCCTCCTTGATGGTGGTGGAATAACTCGAACCATGATTTATTCTTAATTTTTGACTCATCCTGTGTGTTAATTGAGTAATGGCATAGAAAGTGCTTCCACCCTATACGAAAGAGGCTTCTTTTGCGAGCATTTAGAGCCAATAGTGAATATTATAGTTCTGGAAAAATCAGTGTTGACTTAGGATATAGATGCAGGAATTACTTTTAGGCCCTTTATATTGATTAGGTATATTAACAAATAACTGAACGCTTGATTGAATTCTGCTTCATCTGATTATGGCTTTTAAAAATGTAATGAAATACGGAATGTCTGTGTAATCATAAAATATAGTTTTCTTAGAACCCAAAGTGTGTGGCATTCAAACTATTTCAGACCAATGTCAAATATACAGTGGGGACCAAAAGTCCGTCGCCCCCTTCCATTCATACAGAGTGTCCCAAGAAAGCGCAGCGACTTGAAAGTTTGTTTTTTCGAACAGGATACCCTGTATATCATTGTATTATTTCTCCGTGAAAAAACCGTAACAAATGGAACACAATGTATTTCACTTTCCTATTCTAACTTTTTGAAAGCTTTTACAATCATTATTTGATATGTAAAATGAAGAAGTTACCGATAGGGTGACAGACTATTGGTCCTCACTGTATACATTACCAGATATACAGAGATAAATATAAATGCACTCATTGTAATATAATTGGATAATAATTGAATTTTGCAATTCATATTTCTACCGCAAGATCAGTTCCGCAATAAAAATGAAAGGAATATGTAGATTTATAGACAAACAAACCTATTCTTTCGATCTTTCACAAAATTCCTTCACATATCGATATTATACAGGGTGTCATTTTGAAAGCATCCCACATCTTCCTTCCAGTAGATAATGTGGAAAATCGTAAAGACAGGTCGATTATATTTCCAAGGGGGACACTTAAAATGAATAGTTTCAGCCCTCTTAGTTCAACACCCTAGGATGGGTAGATAATACCCTTGATTATATACCATCATTTTGAAGGGCGTTCAATTCTTCTTCCAATGGTACCCTTGTTTATCATTTTCTGTTGAGCAGTTTCCGAAAAATGCCTCCTCAATTAGAAAACTGCCTACCCTTATATCTTACTTTCACTAAATAATATGAGAGATCTAAAAGACACGTCAATTATTATTTTCCGAAAAATGCCGTTCCAAACTTACAGAAGTGAGTATTTATTCATATCTACATCATACAGGAGTTTCTGAACTTATTTCATTTTGTTTGGTTGAATCAAAATGAAATAAAAATGAAAACCAGGACATATCATCATCGCCTAGGCCCCAATGGGCTTGTATTGTGAGTATCTGATATTTCCTGACTTTAAATAATGTTCTTCTTAGTTAGTATATCATTCTGTGCTGCTTGATTTTCATCTGATGGAGCTCTGGGAAGGTGAGTGAGAAAGAACATACTGGAATAGGAGGTGGAAAAACTCTAAGCATCACTATAGATTGTTGATTATTAATTGAAGTCATACATACTTTTGTTTTGACATATCATATTTTCGACAGCTCTTTTGTAAGAATTTGTGCCTAATTTCCGAAAATGGAGGTTAATCGTACCTGTCCACAGGTAACTAATCCTTCAGGTTGGGAAAGTAAGATATATAAAAGTTGAGCAAGCCAACGTTAGATTGAACCTGACGAAGCTACTGTGTTAGCGAAACATGTGTGTTTGAGAATTTTGTGGAAATCTTATCGTTTGTGGAGTTTTTACAATGGGCGTGTACACCTTAGTAGAACTTTTAACTCAAACCATGTTGATAACGATCCTTTTATACATAAATAATGATTGACGACATAATTCGATCGAAAAATTAATTGGAATGTTTCATTCTTGTAAATAAATAATAGTATATTCTGAAAACGGACCCTCTTATGACGTAGAAACCTCATCCCGTCATAGTTAAAAGAAAATACCAAACGCCCGACGATTACTGAGGCAACTGATATATTAATTCTTTCAACTGTGATCTCGCGCTAATTCACTCTGTCAGAAATTATGTATCATTCATCTCTGTCTGGAATAGTCTTGTTTCAGTATTAGGGTTTTGACGTCACATCATCGCCTCGTTTTCAGAGGTCCGAAAAATAGGGGATTTCAATAATTTTTTATAAAACGTAGGGAGCTCACAGCAAGAAACGGTTTGCGGTGGTGAGCTCGTTTTTAGGTGAGTTCTATCAAATTATGAAATAAATTTTTTTTGTGATATGAGCCCATTGGAAGGAAGATATTAAGGGTGGGAACCGCTCAACAGCAAATGGTGAACTAGGGTGCCGTTGGAAAGAGAATTGAACGTCCTTCGAAATGATTTACCTACCATTTGACTCCCCTTCCCATTTGATATTCTGAGGGTAACATCAAATAATTATTTTAAGTCTTCCCCTTGAAATGATATCGACCTGTATTTGCCATTTTTCATATCATTTACTGGAAGGAAGATATTGAGAGTGGGAAAATTTCAAAATGTCACTCCAAAAATGGGATAAATCAATTGAATTCAACTTTATCAATAATCTCAGCTCTATAAATAATTTTGTCTCTTTAATGGAATAAAAAATTGATACAATCTCATTCGGCAAGGATGTCTTTCAAGATCCAGTTTAGTAGCATATTTCATACTACTCCATTCAAGTTTGTAGAAGGTTCAGCGAAAGTCGACTACTATAATAATTAACAATCATCAAAACTTGTCCCACCATCCTGTTATGGTTAGACACAAATAAAAAAATACTGCTCAGTTGATGTTAATCTCCCAATTCCAAGACGAATCAAATCAAAAAACCAGAGAACACATTATGCAGAAATGTAGAGGGAATGTGCTTGAGTTGACATACCGGACGAGTTAGCATATTGGTACTTTATCGTCTTCTTCGGATTGTTTCCCTATTATGTACAGGGTGTGCCAAGTTGGCCACTTTTAAAGGAAAAGTCCTATTCTTGAACCAGATGGAAGAAAACTGATGTCGGTGCCTGCGGGTCGATTCTCATGAAAAACTCATTGGTGTTAACACTGTTAACCGCATATTACAGTTACAAGGTGTTTTTCGAAAATGGGCAATTTAGAAAAGTGGCTACAGGTATTTCTTCTGGCAAAAATTCTCTATTCTTATGAAACGAACTGCAAAGCATTGAGTGCGTGAATATAACACAATGCTTTGGAAATTTTTTCATGAAAAAAAAGAATTTTTGCCAGAATAATAGTTATTTATTATACAAGGGAAAAAAGTAGTAGATTTTAGCTCCAGGTTGTGTTGTCTCCCGACGCGTAGCGGAGGGAGACAAAAAACCGTGTATAATACACTATTTTATTTTTTTCTGTGACAGAAGGAAGGACGAATCAATATTGAGAAGATATTACATTATTTCTAAATCTGAAAATTATCGGCGTGAAATTTCAAGTTTTTAACAGTAGGGACACCTGCGATTTATAGACATCTTCATCATTCTTTCGAAGTAATCAAATATATCTGATGTCACTTCTGTCAGTTCAATTCTGTGATTTGATTTTGAAAAATTGCGAATTCATTGGTTGTTTAGTAATATACGAAACCGCGAAGTCGTATGGAAGATAAAAGGACTTGCAGTTCTTTCTCGGAGACGGTATTATTGACTCATTTTTCGGAACTATAGCACAACAAAAGCCATCAACAGAGTATATATATGTGATATATATCCGGGAAAAAAGTACTCACTTTTTTCCCACGGGAAAAAAGTAATTCATGAAAAGTGACATTTTATAACCGGCCAACAGAGATGAAATGCCAAACTTTTTTCCCGTCACAGAAAAAATAGAGTTTTAGGCACTGAAATAAAGATAGATATCGATATGCGGTTTTCACAGTCACCGACATCAGTGTTTTTCTATCTTGTACGGGGATAGGACATTCCCTTTCAAAGTTCCTAATTTTACCCACCCTGTACATGTCTGCAAATGTGTTTATGGCTACCTCCGATCATAAACAATAACGTTAATGACAAAATTGGTTTTTTGAAGCTACGAAATGTTCAATTCAATCTCATAACTTGCTGAAAAACATGAACATCCAATATTTTTTTGAATTTCAACAAACGTAATTCAATTTTGTAAACCTAACCTCGAAAATCTATATGGTATAACCGTTGCTATGTATTTTGGTTGTGAGTGAATTGGTCTTATTTTGTAGAAAAGTGTTTTCGAACGAAATGGCATACCATAGTTTTGGGGTAGTTGGCATAATATGCCAATTCAACCTTACGTAATGAACTCATACATGGGCCCAGTGCGATTGTTTAGGTTGCTTTATCAGAACAAAGCAGTTTATTGTGAACTTTGTGTTTAGCTCAGGTAGCTACTCCCCACTCTGTTCAAACTTAACTTTTTTTCATTAATAATATTTGTGTCTTTCAGTAAGTAAATAAGTATATTGTACTTCGTTGGTATGTATCTAACTGGCCATCGACCTTACTAGAGGTCCTTCAGCCCATGTGTGTTCTGTGTAGGCGTTGTTACTAACTTCATACGCCATTTTAGGAGCAGCACTGTTAATTTGAACGCAACAACGAATCGTGCAGAATCATCTCCGGCTTCTGAAATAAGATTATATCTCGTTTTGTGAATGATAAGTCTCTGCTCTGCTGGGGATCGAACCTAGCAATCTTTCGCTGTTCAACCACTGCACTATTCCGCCATATTTGTTTTTCATATCCCAAAGTTCTGTTAATTTTAGTTTTAGGTATTATTAATTGTACCAAACTCTGCATTATATTTATTATTGTATAAATCTCGACAATTGAGTCCCATAATAAATTTATTCACTACAAGTAGTTTGGACAAGATGGCATACCATGGTCATTTTACCCGGAATATTCAGCGCGAGATGGCCTACCGAGGTGATTTAAAAAAATATATACTCAACCTAAAAACACAGTTAGGATTCTATTCATTTTTATTATTGTTTGGCTAGGTATTTGCTTATTTAACTACCAAATTTTAGACGCCCTAAATCTCGAAAATAACTTTTAAAAAAATTACGAAATGTATGTCAACTCGGGCACATTTCCCCTACTCTATGAAGCAGTTAGATTCAAAAATATTTCTAACTTTTAGGAGGAATATCTTGAAAAACACTCTGTATGTGAATATCTGCTGCTGCAGCGTTCCTTATTGAAATAGGTGATGAGCAAATAACTTATTATTCGAAATAAAAAATATTCCTTAGTCACAATAGGAAAAACACTATTCGTTTTTGTTAATATAATGATGATGATATAGGACGTGATTTTCCATAAATTCTAGTTGAACTCATTAAAACTTGATGTCATTTGGAATCATTTTATGGACTTACAAAATATAGACAAAACTATTAATAATCACTCAAAGTATATCTGATGTTGAAATTGAACTTTATTATTTATTCAACTATAGAACTGATGATTGAAACTCAAAATATCACGCCAAATTATACAGGGTGTATATCTGAATAACACCGAAAAATTCAAGCGGTGATTTTGTGGTGAAAATTAAGGTGGGTGTTTGGTATACAATTTTTTGAAAAACCTCTCCCCGGTGAAGCTACACCCTTCTGAAAATAAAAGAAAAAGTTTTTTTTCATTCCCCTGTATATTAAGCTGAAGAAACTTGGTGAATATTATTTGACAATAAAACTACACATTTTGTAATGTTTCCAACCCTGAGGTATGCTTAGAAGGGGTTGAAATATTCAACCCCTAAGATATTTTGTCTTACAATTTTTTTTGTACAAAAAAGTTTCTCTCATAAGAACATGGCGAATACTTGAGTTTCCGAGATCCAGAAGTTAGTGGATGAATTGGGCTTTTCAGCCACGTTTTTTTAGAAGAAAATGTTTCATTAAAAAACAAGTTGTGAAAAAAATACCTCAAGGGTTGAATATTTCAACCCCTTCTAAGCATACTTCAGTGTTGAAAAAATTTCAGAATATGTAGTTTTATTTAAAAATGATTTTCACCAAGTTTCGTGTCTTCAGCTTGATATACAGGGAAAATAAAAAAGAAAAACCTTTTTGTTATCTTTGGAGGGGTCTGACTTTACCGAGTATAGGTTTTTCAAAAAAATGTTATACCAAATATACCCACCTTCATTCTCATCACACAATCAGTCATTGCATTTTTTCGGTGTTATTTAGATACACCCTTTATACTTGTTTTCAGGGAACTTTTGACTCACGAAAACGTTACTTTCAACGAAAATGGCACTCTGACAGCAGTACCAAAACATCCGCTCATTTGGGTACCAGAATTGTCCAATGGCAGAAGAGAAGATGATCTGGTCATTTTACCCAATATTGCTCTATTGGTAAGTACCCCTGGAGAACATATTTTGTAATAGTTTCCGAATGCTCTGTATAACAGTATTTTCGATTGTTGTTTTTTGAATAATGCCGTTACACTAGTGAACTTATGCAACTGAAAGAAAACTCAGTAATGCCTATAGAAGCAAAATTATCTTACGTAAAATAATGATTGGTTGATGTCCATTATGCAATTAATAACGAATTTTGTTGAAGAAAAACCTTTCTCTCTACACTCACATTGGCAAGAATAATAATAATTTGCTGATACGCTGTGCAGGCGCTAATATATACCTGTATTATATCTAATCACAGTCTAATAATACGCATTATCATTAGGATCATTGAAATAGTGAACGATATCCGAACATTTATTTAATTGAATACATAGTAGTCAAAAATAACCATCCAGTTCTTTTGTTTTAAATTGTAACCAGGTAATGCTTGACACCTACAGACCTTCGAGCTGATTTTCCTCATTCGTGTAGGGTATTAGCCAGACATCATTTTGATTTCTGATCAATAAAAAAGACTTGAAAATTTTATTATTTCCAGGCCGTGAGGAAGGGTTGGATTTTTCATTTTCAATATGACTTTTTCCTTCGAAAGCAAACGTTTCTTCGAATGCAATAATTTTTAGTATTCAATTCCATGTTTATCCTTTTCATTGAATCCGATTTTGACCTCACTATACAGAGTGGCATTGAAATAAGTGAAGATATTTCGAACCCTGAGAAAGTTCCACGTATACTATCGAATGGCACTAATGAAAGAAATGTAGGAATCAAAATAAAATTTGGGGTAGACTCCTTTTTCCACTCAAAGTTCTATATGAACATCGTGCGTACCAAGAAGAAGATCGGTAGAGACGTTTTTGAACTTTTGGAGGTTATATAAGTTCTTGGGAATATTTTCATTGACAAGGAATTCCGAAGTTTTGCCGTTCTATAGACGAACGAGTGTTGGTAACGTGTTGTTCGACATACTTCAGAGTTGGTCATCAAAGGATGTGCTGACTGAGCTTGTCGAGTTCGTCTGACTGGTATTGGTAGTGATGGAATGGAAGCACAGATTTCTAAGGAGCATTTTCCGTATTCGTCAGTATTTTGCATTTTTTTTGCTAATTTCCTAGCTTGTTCCCTGGAATTTACACCTTTTTGCGGTTCAAACTTTTTCAGCTTTTATCATTTATTGGTCATCCCAAAAAATCAGGGAGCTCATTTCCATAAAAAAAATAATGAGTAATAGCATTACAACTTCTATCTGAACTTATGAAGCATAAATTACGGAATAATTATTACTAATTAGGCATTTTGAATGATATATCACCAGTTATTTCATTATAATAATTAACGATCATCTCTTGAACTTGAATGGACGGCCTCCAAAATGAGTGGAAGAACACTAATAAAATTTTAAGTATATCGGTGACATTTATTTTGAAAATCGCTGAAAACGAGTTTTGAATGAAAAATTTCCAATCCTAATGTCTTTGTAGACGAACAATCAAATGTAGGAGCAATTCAATCAATGATTAGAAGTTTCGTTTAAAATTCATATAACATACCTACTATAGTTTCAAGATTTTGTTGAATTCCAGTTAATGAACCAGTAGGCATAACCAACAGCACATTCATACATAATAAAATAGCTGTAATTGTCGATTTCTTATGCAGGCTAATGCAAAAATTATAATAAACATAGGCGGCGAATTGGGGTATATTAGGTGACTACGCCCACATGAATAGGAAAATTTAAACGAATGATTTCCAAAAATTCGTTCAAATTGTGTAGAGAAGTTTTTCTTTTTATTCTTGGATTTCGAACGATCATGAAAAAGCAGCATGTATAATTGATAGAACACCTTATAGGCACTATTAAAGTCAACTTAAATTCAATGCTAAAATGAACTATATACCTACATACTAAAGATCGGAATGTAATGCTGAGTCACTGTTCAAATAGTGGAATCTAGCATCTAGAGCTAAAGTAATTCGATGGCTATCAAAGTCTATCAGCATGTAGTGCTAAAATAAGACACCATGAGTCACTGCTGAGGTCAACTACTGAATTGACTTCAGTATATGGTACTAAAACACTTTTATGTCTGCTAAAGTCTATCAGCATGTACTGCCAAAACATCTTGAGCCATTGCTGAGGTCAACTACTAATGAAGTCCAGTGTGTAGTGCTGAAACACCTTGATGACTACTAAAGTCCATCAGCATCTAGTGTCAAAATACAATGAGTCACTGCTGAGGTCAACTACTAAATCAACTCCAGTATGTGGTGCTGAAACACTTCAATGGCTGCTAAAGTCTATCAGCATGTAGTACTAAAATAAGACACCATGAGTCACTGCTGAGGTCAACTACTGAATTGACTCCAGTATATGGTACTAAAACACTTTTATGGCTGTAAAGTCTATCAGCATGTACTGTCAAAACATCTTGAGCCACTGTTGAGGTCAACTACAAATGAAGTCCAGTGTGTAGTGCTGAAACACCTTGATGACTACTAAAGTCCATCAGCATCTAGTGATAAAAGACAATGAGTCAATGCTGAGGTCAACTACTAAATCAACTCCAGTATGTGGTGCTGAAACACTTCAATGGCTGCTAAAGTATATCAGCATGTAGTGCTAAAATACCATGAGTTTAACTACTAATTGAGTCCAGAATGATAGTGCTGATACAACTTGATGCCTGCTGAAGTCTATCAGGATGTAGTGCTAAAACATCATGAGTAACTGGTGATGAGGTCAACTACTAATTGACGCCAGAATGATAATGTTGAAGTAACCTGATGCCTGCTAAAGTCTATCAGGATGTAGTGCTGGAATACCATGAGTTACTGGTGATGAGGTCAACTACTAATTGAGTCCAGAATGATAGTGCTGAAACAATTTGATGCCTGCTGAAGTCGATCAGGATGTAGTGCTGAAATACCATGAGTCACTGATGATGTGAACAAATAACAAAGTACAGTAGCTCTGAAATACCTTGATAGCTGCATGTTAAGGTCCATCAGCAAGTAGTCCTTAAATACCTCAATTCATGCACTGCCAAAAATAAAGTTCACCGCTGAAAAATGTTGCTACCGGGCTCTGAGGGAATACATCATCACGTCTGACAATGTTATTTCAATATAAATTTTGATATTGCCTTTAAACATTTTTCCAACAAAATATTCTAAAATTCAATTGATTATTCTGAAATACAATACTAATTGATGCTCTCTGGAATTCAAATGACTATTCTGAAAGATGAATGTTGCTTTCTGATATCTTCAAATACAGTTGATGCTATCTGAAATACTCACAACTGGATAAGTTGTAGAACTTTCTTCTTGAGAGTGTACTTGATGTTCATATAGTCTTATGGATATCTCCAAAATTCTTAGAAGAAAAATCAACGAGAGTCCCAAAGTCTGGCGACCACGAAAAAATTGTTTAATATAAGTAGTGTAACTACACTTTCGGCCACAGGCCATCATCAGACACAAAGATGATGTAGTCGGAAGTACCTAGAAGATAATTATGTTATTGCAAAGTCCATAATTATCTTTTAGGTACTTCCGAATACATCATTTCTGTATCTGATGATGGCTTGTGGCTAAAATTAGTTACACCACTTATTAAACAATTTTTTCGTAGTTGACAGACTTTGCATGGGACTGCTATTGTTTTTTCTTGTAAAAATCATGTATCGAAAGTCTATCAGACGTTTTTCGTCGTCCGAAAAATTAGTAAACATTGCTTTTGGGTTTCGCACATTCGATTTAAATTCCCAGCGACGCCAATGATAGCAAACGATTACTATCTGATATTATTAATATATACAATCATTACTCACTGCCAATCACCTTTTCTTATTATTTGAATTTTTCAATGGGATTTACCTTCACTCGTATGATCAGGACAAAGTCGATCATAGGTACTATTTTACGGTATAATACAATGAAACAGAACCAAGGCAATTTCAACGAATACAAAAATATGTTCAACTCAAAATAAGTGATTCGATCTTTGACACAAACTGAATGAATAATCCTCATATGAAGAATAACATTTTTTCTTTGACTGGAAAAAAGTTCAACATTTTTTCTGTGACTGAAGAATTATATCTCTGTTGAAAGGTGTCATTTTTGTCTCTTTGATCTTCCAATCCATAAATCTTGGTTATAGTCTTTGCTGGCAATAATTTTGGTGACGCTTCTTTAGGTAGAGTCAGATGAAAATCGAATAAGCTGGAAATCATACATTTTTCAACATTTTATTATTCAAAATAACTAATTAACATGCAATAAGTTCGCAGTTTTTAAATCAAATCACAGAATTCATAATTTTCGATAATTTTCTGTCTTCATTACATTGTAATATTTTTTCAATATCAAATCGACGTATTTTCCACAACTGAGAAAAAATATTTCAATTATCACAGGAAAAATCGTGGGAAAAATATTAGATTTTTTAAGCTCTCGGTTTTTTGCCTCGAGCTAAAACCTAATACTTTTTTCCCTTGCATAATAAATGACTATTTAATCATGTTAATCACTTTAAGTGTAAATTAATAAGTCAGCCACCTTTATGAATAAATTTTGCAATTTCAATGTCGATTATCTATGCTGAAAATGTAAACGTTTTAACAAATCGCTTTACCCAGATTAGATGATAGCTCAAGGAAATCTTAATTTATCTTAATAGAGCAAAATTAAGCACATAAGGTCGTCTGAACTTTTTGTGAAAATTCGCGAGACCTATTGGTATAATTATAACTGAATGTGAAGTTTGAGGTTATACAAAGAAAGGTGAATAAGATACCTGTTCTGCATTCTCTTTGTAACTCAGATATTTGGCTGGAATGTAGCCCTTGAAAATTGGCGATCATAATCAACGATCCAGTCAGACCTTGATGCAAATCGATTTTGGAAGAAATATCTTAGTAATTTGGGTCGAGGAGACCTAATTACTTAGATGCTAGTAATACTAAATAATTATGTCTGGT